TTCCCTTTTCTTCCCTTTCTTTTCTCTTCTTAAATGCCGATGTCTTATTCCAAGAACTGTCCTCCAAAGTCCCCCTAAGGCTGCATCTCCGACACATTGCTATGCCAGTAAGGTTTTATTTAACTTTATTTAAGGATGATCGTGCCTGTTAAATGAGAACGTACTGCTGCTTCCTACCTGCTAGACGCACAGTGTATGTTAGGAGGGTGAGCAAGTGTTGTTTCTTAAACGCCTGTAGTAAATATGGTTGTTTCTGCCTCTCAGTTGTCGCCAGCTCTTTGAAGGGGAGAAATATGTGATTATGTGTGGCGATATTTCTGATATGCTGCTACAGTTGTGACACTGGAGCTAGAGAAAAATAAAGCCTTGATCTTTGAAGTGTTGTGGGCTCTGTGGTGGGAATATTGAACTAAGAGGAGAGGGGATGTCCACTAGGCACAAGCCCCTGGATGTGCTGACCCATTCACTGTGTGCTCAGTGGTTAAAATGGACCAGAGAAAATGTTACTTCATTATACTAACAAAATAAAAATTATCCTTGTATTGCTAATTACTATAAGGTATTTGCTACAAGCTTGGTAAAGTTGGCTTTTAGAAACTTGCCGATCTTAAAAACAAAAGAGTTATAGAGGTCAAGGTGGAAATTCAAGACAGCATCAATAAACAAAGATTTTTATCTGAGTCAGATTAGCAAAAATAATCTCTTCAAAATAGAAAGCTGGATCAGATGAGACATGATGGGTATAATCAAAGAGCATTTACAAATGAGTGCTCTTGGCCACACTAGCACATTGGAACACCACGAGCCTTGGAATCCCATTCCGTGTGAAGGAAGTTTTCCTACGCTCAGAATTTGGTCCAGTCTTTCCATCTAGAACATTGTTTTTGCCTGGCTGCTCTTCTCACTATGATTACTTTCTCAGTACCATTAATCATGACTCCTTTAATGTGTAATTTACTCAGATTTTAATCCTATCATGAGCTTGAGGGGACATATGAGAGGGAGTCATTCATGACAGCTGGCCCTCAGACCCTGGACCCTGCCTAAAGATTGTGAGCTGACCATAGAGTTTCATTATTATGGGCAAAAACTAAACCACAGATGAGACCACTGAAGTGGTAGAGAATAAACCAGAACCACAGGAAGCTGCCGGCACTTGGGCCTTACCGGCTTCCAGGCTGGTGATGTTTTTTTCAGTCTTGGACCCAAGGCAGTTGAAGTTTGGACATTGCCCTGAGTCCTCGGGTATTTTTTTCGTCAAGGACACTCATTGAGGGTGCTTACTTTAAAGCAGTGCCCATTGAAACCTCACAAAGCCCAGTGCTGTGGGGAAAAAAAAGGCATTATGGGTATCCATAATTACTGTCATTAAAATGTCCCCATTATTCCAAACTTCGTTATACAGATACAATCAGGGAAAAGGAGAGGATTTGCTGCAATATTTCATTCACCTGGTTGCATTCAGCTCAGAATATGAATCTTAGACTATATATTTGTCACCTGCCAACCCAAGTGAAAGGCATCCGCCAAGAGAATATTCTCACCCTTCTGTGGACAGCCAGAACCTACTGCCACAAACAAACTGGTACGAGCAAGTGCTCCCAGTATTACTCTTCATTTTTTCTTTTCACTCCTTCCCTTAAAAGCAGCGCCAGTAAGGGCCGATGTGACAAGAATGGAGAAGCCAGCTATCCACAGCGCCTCTTTCCGTAGCTCTGGGCTTCCTGAGGTTTCAGCTGGGTCCTGCTCTGTGGTAAACGTCTTCAGCAGTGAGTCCTTGACAGCAACAGAAATTCGTGAGGACTCTAAGCCAATGCCCGGGCTTCAACTGCCTTGGGTCCAAGATAAAAGCATTGCCGGTATCATCTGGATTTATATTTTTTATTCTCACTGAAGAGTTTCAGATGACAACAGACATGGACTGGGCTGTCCCTCCTAAGGTGTCCCTTGTGTCCTCTCAGGTGAATGCTGGTGACTCTCCCCAGATGTTACCCCAGTTACGGAAAGTGAAAGATCATAACTGCTACAGGTAAATAAGATGACTGAAGAGCTTTTTAAAGAAGCCACGTCAACAGGAAACTGGAATTCTAAAGTGTCATCTCATATCCACATCTTCACGAAAGAAAGCTCACATGTTCCCCTAAATAATATTACTTTTAGGAAGCAAGGCTAGAGAAATGAGTACGCTTGGACATATTTTCAAATTTTATAAATGTATTGGGAGTCAAATTTTAAATATAGTATCTGGCTGGGGACCTCTGATGAACCTCCTGGGATCTCTATCTTGTTCCACTATTCTATTTGTCTTTCTTTCTTTCTTTATTTTTATTTTTATTTTTTTACTTTTTGCCAATATCACACTATCTTGATTACTGTGGCTTATATATAGTAAATCTTGAGGTCAGGTAGTGTCAGTTCTTTGACATCATTCTTCCCCTTCGATATTGAATTATTCTGGGTCTTTACCTCTCTCTGTAAACTTTAGAATCAGTTTGTCAATATCCACTTCTGTCTAGCAGAAAGTTGCTCCTTCAGCTCTTGCCCTGAAGCCAGACAACTCAATTCCTCCTCGTATGTCCCTGGCACCTTTCAAGCTGCTGCCCCAGTGCTGGAGCTCAGAGCAAGTGAGTCCATCAGCAAGTAAGTCCTTGTGCCGGCTTTTTAAGAGAAACAACTCCCATAGCCCTTTGTCTCACTCAGCCACAGTTTCCACTGGTTTTCACAGCCAGAGGTTGGGAGGATTTTTGTTTTAGGCACTGGAACCCTGGGTTGGAGAGCCTGGTGTGGGGCTGGGACCTCTTGCGCCTCGGTGGGGACCTCTGCAGTCAAGGTATCCCTCCTACTTTTAAC